ACATATATATATATATATATATACACACACACACACACACACATACATACACACACACACACACACACACACATACATACATACACACACACACACACATATATATATATATATATATACACACACACACACACACACATACATACACACACACACACACACACACACATACATACATACATATATTTCCATATAAAGAAGCATATGACAGCAGTTAACATTTTTTTAGAATACCCATGACTGGGAGAGACATGGTAACAAGGTCAGCCAATGAATAGGCATAACAACTAAGTCAGAGATCTGAGTCTGTGCTGAGAATGGAAACTGAAACTACTCTGTCTACTCTGAACTCTGAAATGAAACTAACTGTTCTCTCCTGCTTGTGTTCTACCACGTTGAAAGAATTTACTATTGATATTGTACATTTATCCATCTGTTATTATGTATATAAAGAAATTAATGAATCCAGCTATGAATCAGCGATCTGTGTGTGCTTTCTGGATTTGATTTTTCTGCAGCAAACTCTGATAATTTTCTGGAAATCCTCTTTTGATGGGATCCTCTTTTCATGTCACTGTATGTGCACAAATTAATTGAACCGTAACGGCATGACTTTCCTTCTAGGCGAAGAAGTTCTTCTTTGGGATCTTATGAAGATGACAGTGAAGATTTGACACCAGCACAGTTAACTCGCAGAATTCAAGGACTGAAGAAAAAGATCAGGCGGTACGAAGATAAATTTGAGGAGGAGAGAAAGTATAAAGTAAGCTGACGAAAACTTTTCCTTTCAATCAAACACTACTTCTCAGATTTTAATTTCTCTCCCAGTTATCCAAATGTAATTTACCTGAACATCACTAGTAGTTGAATTGTTAAAACAGTATAATCATTTAGCTGGTTATCTAGCAAAGGAAACTACTGACTAGCTTTTTTTTAAAAATATATATTAATTAGCCATCTCTTCTTTCACCCATTGGGGAGGAAAAGCCCACTAAGCTGAGCAAGTAATGCCTATCTAAATAAAATATGTATTTGATGAACCTGTTAATCTCTTCTGGTGACTTAAAAATTTTATGTGCAGTAGACACCTGTTCATTTTATTTACAGTATGTTTTAGAGGGTGCACAAAGCAAATAACTGTCATTTGTTTTTTTATTNGTATCCACTCATTTAAATGGCAAAGAGTGCTTTAAGTCATGCTAGTAAAAACAGTGATTGGAAACATTGGAAGAACATTGCTAGTACACATTTTGGTTCTTTAGAGAACCTAGTCCCTCCTCCTCCCCCCCCCCCCAAGCACTTAAGGTACATTTCATTACTGCATTTTTGTATTTGGGGGTGTAACTGGAAAGTTTGTCCGTTAATGGCAGTTCCTTTCACTAGGAAGAGTGAAATCTCAACTTTGACAACTTGAAGATGAGTGGACTTCAACTCCCAGAATTCCCCAGCTAGCAAGGGTAGAGAGTTGGATGGTGTACGTGATCCCTTCCAACTCTTACGTTCTGTGATTCTATGGAAATGTTCAAAGTGTCTGTTTATCTGGACCAAAGCCTTTTGGAATGGATGCCAAGTTGCGTCCACATGCTATTTTTGTATCAGTTCAGAATTCTAAAGCAGGCTCAAATATACTAGCTGATATGCAAACCTGCCCCATCAGCTGTTGTGGGTATTTGTGGTGGAATATACCAGATGATATAACTTTCTTTTTACAGTTTGACAGTGTATTAGATGCTTTTCCCTTAGATCTAAAGAACCCCTCCAGCCACATTTATTTCCTTATATATTCTAGTTAGCTCTGCTCCAAAAAGGGTCATTTTGTTGTTATATTTTCAAAGGTAATCTGAATAAAGCTGTATTCTTCCCTGTGGTTTTAGAAGTCAGGGATGAAATGAGAACATTTTTTTTTCTTTTTCATTTTTTTCTAAAGAATTTGGGAAGGCTATAGAATAGATAATGCTTCTCTTAATCTCTTGAAATCATTACATTGCTTGATGCAAATTCCACATTTTAGAAGTGAGAACAGGAAACACAACTTCTTTCTGAAATGTACCACTAGTTGTTTCGGATATTGATTAGAATTTATACACTACCTAGAGTCGCTTTTTCAGGGAGAAAATTCAGCTTCTGAATATGATATATCAATCAATAAATAATAAAATAGAACAAAATCATGTGGAAAGAGAGGTCAGAGAACACTGGAGGTGTGTGTTATAATCTCATCTTGACTATTTTATAATCCTGAACCTTGGACTGACAAATCATGATGCTCGTGATTTAGTTGTTAGGTAGGTGGAGCGATTTAGAAGTATTTGATTTAGCTGAACGTATTCCTTGTCTTGTCTCACAATCTAAACAGTAGTTTGGATTGTCCCTAATCTGAATCATGGATAATTGAACAGAGGGTTGGAATAGCATTGCCTAGCCCTAGACCAGTGGTGAACCTCAGCATCTTTAAGATGTGTACGCATAAATTCTGGGAATTGAAGTCCATAATCTGGGGTTGAGATACATTGGCTTAGGCCAACAATGTGAATATTCTACATATAAGAGTGCCCATTTTCTACTGAATTAATACTCTTCTCTTAAACACGCTCTGGATTCAAAGAAGTAAAAATGGAAAATTAGTAAGTAATTATTGATACTGATAATCCATTTGCTGAAAATTTTGTTTAATGTAGAATATAGAATTGTGTAGGGATGTGGTGGCTAAGATGCTGGGCTTGTCGATCAGAAGGTTGGCACTTCAGCGGTTCGAATCCCTAGCGCCGCGTAACAGAGTGAGCTCCCATTACTTGTCCCAGCTTCTGCCAACCTAGCAGTTCGAAAGCTCTTTTAAGAAATGCAAGTAGAAAAATAGGGACCACTTTGGTGGGAAGGTAAAAGCGCTCCATGCGCCTTCGGCATTTAGTCATGCCTGCACCATGAGACATCTTCAGACAGCGCTGGCTCTTCGGCTTAGAAACGAAGATGAGCACCGTCCCTAGAGCTGGAAACGACTAGCACGCATGTGTAGGGGGACTTTTTATCTTTCCTTATAGTATTATGTAGCGCTTTTTAGGTTTTTTAGATGAAAGTTAAGGAGATCAAATTCCAACACTATCCTCATACAAGCAAATGAGAACATTTGGCAAGTCACAACACAGAATGTCCCTAGAGACAATTTTCTGTTCTGTTTTGTGCCCATTGAAACTCTGCTTTAACTTCAGGCCATATACTGTGCCCTACATTTTGGGATGATTAAGATTAAGGCCCTTTTCTTATGACAATTCTTCATATACTTAAAGAAAGTTATCATAATATCCACTTTTAATCTTCCTACAGATAAGTAAATATCTTCCAAAGTCCCTCATTCTAAGGAATTATAAAATTAGGAGAGTTTGGAAGTAGACATAAATTTTCTTGAAAAAGATAAAATCAATACTTACCCCAAACTATTTTACCATTTTTCTCTCTTTTACATGCTAGTTTTAATTTATGCTAGGTATGCTTTGTTAGTTTTAATTTATTCCGGCAGTATGATTTGTTATATCTTTGAGGCATTTTATGACACAGATGTCATCTCTGTGTGTAATATTTCAGATATTCACAAATTAAATATACCCAAGAGGAGGACTTGTGATCAGTGGTTTCGTTTTCTTAGTGGACAGGAAATTTTTTGGTCCTCTGAATTTGTGCTGTATTACCTCACATGATCTTAATGTCTGCAACTCTGTTAATATTGACACTTTCTGGAACATTTTGATTGCAAAAGTTAACACTGTAATAACCACCTACACGGCCCTATATAAGAATGAATAGCAGATGGCATGAACACATGCTGTCTAACTTTTCAGCAGAATGTTTTGTTTTGTTTTTACAGTCATGAGGTATGAAATCCTTTCCATTTTTCTCCAGTTACCGTGTTTCCCCGAAAATACGATGTCCTGATAATAAGGTCATGCCACATTTTTCGGGTGCGAAAAATGTAAACCCCACCCTGAAAATAAGCCCCCTGGACAACCCCACCCCCTCCAGCCAGCCAGAGCGCCACTCACTGACCTAGCGGTATCCTGAAGGACCAAGCCGCAGGAAGGGGGTGGGGGTGCAAAGGCATGCGTTGCTTGGCGCCTTCGGGATACCGCTAGGTCAGTGAACGGTGCTGTGTCCAGCTGGAGAGGGGGGGTTGCTGGGCAGTTGCTCTCTTGCGAGAAGGCTCCCGAAGAGCCAGGCACAGCCTCAGGGTTAAACAAGCAGCCACCTGGCAAACCCCCTTTCCAGCCAGGCACAGCGCCATTCACTGACCTAGGGGTATTGCCAAGCTGCATGAGCGGCTGTTCTCCACCCTCCAGCTCCCACAGCTTGGCGCCTTCGGAATGCCCCTAGGTCAGTGAATGAGGCTCTGCATGGCTGGAGAGGGGGGTTGCGTGAGCGGCTTTTCCGCTCCCCGCTCGCGCACCTCCCAGCCTTACAATGCCCTTGCCTAACTCTCCCTGCAGAGCCAGGGCACTTCCACTGCTGCCGCCACATGGCTTTTTCTGCGGCTTCCAAAGCATGGAGGTAGGATGCTGAGTCTTCTGGAAGTTGCCATTCTGGGAATACGCTCTATGGTTGTACGCTCTGCCAGCAGCCAGCCCACCACCATAGAGCGTACTCCCAGAGCGGCCGCCCTGGCCCTGCAGGAAGAGCTGGGTCAGAGCATGGTGAGGCTGGGAGGCACAGGAGCCGGGGATGGAACAGGAGCTCGCACAACTTCCCTTTCCAGCCAGGCAGAGCACCATGCACTGATCTAAGGGTATCCCTAATGCACCAAGCTGCGGGAGCTGGGGGGAGGGCAGAGCACCACGTGGCTTAGCGCCTTTGGGATATCACTGGGTCGTGAGTGGCGCTCTGCCCGGCTGGAAAGGGGGATTGCCGGGCATGGCTGGTGGGTTGGCACTGCTGCGACAGCCCAACACAGCCGTTTGCCCCTGAGGCTGTGCCTGGCTCTTCGGGTTCCCGCTTGCAAGAGAGCAGCCACCCGGCAACCCCCCCAAAAATAAGCCCCCCCAATAATAAGGCCCAATCAATATTTGGGGAGTCAAGAGAAAATAAGACCCTGTCT